AAGAATAATCAGGCATGTAGCCAGGGGTGAAATAGAGGGGTCTTTCCTTCATAATTTGTATTCTTTTATGGCACTTTTATTATCATTCTTCTCTTCTACTCGTTGTCTGTTTGGTATATTTGCATATGTATTTTATTGCTTTTTTATTGTATTTTTTTATTGCACTATCCATGTATTTGTTTTTCTAAAAGCCCATCTGGGAACAAACATTGCAAATTAAATGCTATGATTTGTGGTATTATTCGGCTCAGTGAATATTCCATGAGTATGTATCTGTCTTTATTATAATAGGACGGGAATAAATAAACAAACCAAAACAAATCCAGTCTTAAAAAATATATCTTTCTGCAACAGCAAACAGAAAAGAGAGCTGTTGGATGACATGCAACAACCAGGTTTCTCTTCGGCTTGCATGCTCTTTTTTAACCCCAAGTCTTTGTTTTGGCACAGTGAAGATTGCAGAATCGACTTGGACAGGCAGCTAACAGCAGGAAAAAAAAAAGTATGTCAACACTAAAACCTCATCAACACAGTGATATCTGTGTTGAGCGAGACACGGTGAGACAGCAGACTCAAGCTTGCAGTTATGAGAGGCTGCTGGAAGGATTGGATTGTCTCAAATAAAAGGTGTCAGACACCCCAAGGCTCACAGAGTGCTATGAGGAAAAACATGTTGTTGTGGCACCTGTTGCTGTCATGAAGCACATGAAAAAGCTGAAGGACTTGTTGGTCTGAGGGAAGGAGACCCAGAAGAGAAAGAAGCCAAAAGAGACAGTGGATGGAGAAAAAAAATAGAAAAGAATCCCTGATTCTCTTCTTTAATGTGGAGCTGGGCTGAAATGTTGAAGATGACTCAACATTTTACATTCATCTCATCAGCAGAATCTGAAATTCTGACTGTTCATATCTGGGAACATGAAATTGAAGTGAAGCTCTTCAGAGCAATGAAGGATTACTGAGTGGATGCAAAGTGAGCAAGGACCAGGGCCTGAACAGCACTGTCGGAAAATAATTACAGAATTGTTTCTTTTGTCAGCACACATCCAAGGACAACATGTCCAATGTCATACTTTATTTTCAGAAGAGTGCACCACAGTACAGGGACAGTGCATTAGGGTAGAAAACAGGCCATATCCAAGGTTTAAAGATGCGTTTATATCACCATCTGACCTACCCAGATTAAAACCATGTACTAGGCAGAACTAATTTATTGATTCAAGATAATGACTGCAGAGATGTGTGATCATGCGCGAGAGATATGTATATTAGTAAGAACAGTTTCATACTTTTAAAGTATTTGAGGCAATCTTCAAAAAGAAAAAAAACATTTCTTTTGGCTTTTAAAGAGTGTTAAGGCACACACATAAAGGCACAATACCTGCAGCGTGTGGCTCCATAAAACGCACACACTGAGTGCAGCTATATACCTGAAAGCTCTGCTGCAGCACAAAAATAACAAGCAACGTGCGTGCAGAAGCTGATAGCAACAGCCGACATGATTGAACTCATGAGCTAGAATAAGACTGCATGAATATAAACATGAGACAGCCATGGGCAACAAAATGGGGAAGGAGGAAAAAAATATCAAAACTGAGTAATCTAAAGTGCCGGGCAATTTCTAACATCCACAAGCAATTGTAAGTTTACAAAGACTGAGGGAAAACTGGCAAAATGCAAAATGTGAGCCAGTGAATAGTATATAGAACAAAAGTCTGCATGCACACACACAAAGTAGATCAGTGACAGGAATAACTGATAGCTAGAAGGAGGTACATGAACAAATAAATGGATCCTATATTATATTATTAATCTACCTATCTGTCTGCATACTAACATGCTGATATTTAGCAGGTTTGATGTTTATAATGTTCAGCATCTTAGTTTAGCCTGTTATCATGTCAACATTTGCTAACTATCACTACACACGTTATTGCTACTAAATTGCATGGCATTAAATAGTTGTGGAGACATTTCACTCAAAATCACAAATGTTAACCTCATGGTGGTTGCACTTTTAATTCATTTATGTAATTCATACACCCTCGAAAGGGTTCAGTAATAAGACTAATAGTGGTCAGTGGTGTCGTAAATCAAGTCCTATAGCTCAGAAATGCACCATAGGATGACGAATTTGCTATATAGGTAAATTATGTTTGCTTACATAAAATGAAAAATGAAGAACTATCTCAATCACCAGCAGTGTGCCTCACTACACCAGCTGACAGAGTCTGAGAGTCTTTTGAAAAGTTCCTGCTGTGCCCACCTGACCTCTCACCTGGAAGTGGCGGTGACGCCTCTCTACTCCCGACTGAGCCAACTTGCCTCTTGTCATTAAACCTGGAGGTGTCATTAACCCCCACGTCTCCACCAAAACACACACAAATTACACTCACAAAGTTCAAGTGCACGTCCCATCTTGCTTTCTAATGGACTTCTTTCCCAACATTTGTGCCAGCACGACTCCAATTTCAACACCATCAACAAGAATCAGATGGTGAAATGATTGTGCTGCTAAAAGCTATTCATCATCTTGTGACCATGAGACAGCTCAGCTCTTTCTCATCATTTGTGAAACTGAAACCAAAACTCAAGGACTCAAGAGGATGATTTAGTTTATACAGTTGTATTGTGCTAAGTTCAATGTAGTAAAATAAAGCAAGAAGCTCAAGGCCGTGGCCTACAGTGATTATAGAACTGTTAAGGAGGGTTGTTCTGCACAAGGCGGAATAGAGTTATAAAAGAGTACTAAAACGTTAAAAAATAGTTACTACATATATCCGTCAATACCCGTTTCATAAAATAAACACACAGCAGCAAAAACAATTTATTGATAACAAATAATCATTCTTCAGCCAGGCAATGTAGTTCCTCTGCAACATTTAGCAGAATGGTTGCCAAGCAACACACAGATGCAGTGGAAAGCATGCTTAAAGATTGGGGGGATTATTACCATTCAACTGGACACCGCCATTAATTGTGTAAGTAGTAATCAATTATATTAGCTCTCCTCTTTGCTGGTACAGGGGTGTTTGACTCTGGACAGGTGTTTTAATTGCTCAGTGCCAGGAGCAAAGAATATTACTCCAGCATCTTCTCTTCCCAACAATTCTGACATTTTGAAACAGTTTGGCGCACTAATACTGATGTAATGTGGTCACAGGTGTGTGTTTATAGAGGATTTTACAACGGTTTCTAACACAGTTCAGTTAATCATAATTGAGGACCAGCATTAAGCCCTAATAGGAGGCTGTGGTTTGCAGTGATTTCAGAACAGCTAAGGGGCGTTGTTAGGCACCACACGAACAGGTGTAAAAAAAGAGTAACAACACCAATTTGATTCCAGACAGTTATACACAGCTTCAACTTGGACTACACAAATTTAATTTTTGATCACGCGATCTAACTCAAGCATAGAAATTCTAATGAATGCGAGTCGACTCCGGGCTCTGGGGGTACAAATATCACCATCTCCTTGCTGCTTTCTCTCCCTTTCTGATTCAGCTGCAGCTTAAATCTCCCAGCAGCATCTCAAACTGCACTTAGTCTAATTCCCCATAGAGAAACCCTGCATTACTCCCCCACTTTTACTCCGCTAAATCCCATGCTCGCTTGCCTGCTCTCTCTCTCTCTGTCATCATTGCTAAAATAAATCAAAGCTACAATAATTCATGAGTGTTAAGAGTGTGTGTGTGTATAGGGGAGTGAAGGCCTGATTTTTTTTTTTTTACAGAGAACGAGGAGTTTTGAGCAGCTTTAACTCCATTTTATTACTGTACAGGCAGAGAGAGGACATGAAAAGAAAAATAAAGAATTCAGGTTTTTAGTGTAGAGAAGAAGACATAAAAATCAAGTTACTGAAAATGAATGAATATAACTCAATACAAATTAGGCTATTGCTCTCGACAGTAATCAAATAATGGTTAGCAGGAGATTTACGAGATCCAAGACCGAAATTGTTCCCAGGGAAGATGAAAGGGAAAAAGAGGTTTATGCAGCAGCGTTGATATGACTTCTGAAAATACGCATTAATAGCAAAAAAAGCTGCAGTGAGGAACCGCATCCAGCAATCAGTGTGGATTTAGAATTTCCAATCTCCAAACTGACTTGGAAGAGGATGAAAGCTAATGAGGTTTCTTGTCAACAAAGACTTGAGCACTGCAGCCCAACCTCTGGGCACCGTGAGTCAGTCCACTACATTGGGTTTGGTGATTTTTTCAAAGGTCCGGGCCACCAGCCGGGCCGGATATATCAAAACCATCAAACAGGCCACTCATGGATGTCAGCTGGAGGACACGATGCTAACTAAGTCAGTCTTACTGAAGATGCATTTGATGCTTTTATACAGGAAATATTTAATGCAATACAAAGCCTTAAACTTGATAAATGATGGAGGTAGCAACAAAACAAAAATCATAACCTTTTTTTTGATGAAACAAAAACCAAACTAGGTCAGTGCAGATATACTGCAGACTGGCAAAAACACACACACAAACAAAGGGCAGAAGAGAGAATAAACAGACATTTCTGTTTATGTCAAGTGGAAAGTCTATACTGCACTGTAGATTATCTAAAACTGTCTGATCATTCATCTAAACTGTGTGCATAGTTTACACCAGTGGTTCATCTTCATAGTAATTCATTGTTACACGGCAAAATAAAAGAAGTCAGCAGTTTTAGGCTACATGGCTGTGCATAAATACACATTAAAATGAATAATAAACAAAATATTATTATGCTAATTGTAAATGTATTTCTTTTGTTGTGTTCAAAAGTAGAGCTGTCATATCACCAATATTGGCTACAGCTTTATTATTTGTTCTGTTTTGACGTGTTTGCAAATGTAATGTAAAAAGTTTATGTGTGGTTAATATTTTCTTATTGTTGTGAAACATCCTTAGAAATGTACAGTAAAAACATGGAAATGAACAAATCTCCTGTCTTGGGGCACTTTAGAAACCACAGCTTTACATAATAATACGCTTATTTTGAAAGAAACTCACCGGCCAGCACTCCCGCCATGTAAAGCAGACTTATTCGTAAAATGCCATGGACCATCTCCAAAGGAACGCCAATCATCAGCTGCAGTAACGCATTGAACCCCAGCTGCTCCAAACTGAGGGCCGAGCACAGAAAAAAGAATCAAATGACAGCACACGATATTTGTTTCTCCTAACCACTGTGCATCATCTTCAGAAACCAACCAGATTTTAATTCAACCAGTCCTGCAGAAGTCAACATGATGGTAAGTGGAGGTTCGTACCCAACGTGCATGAACATGTAGCTGAAGAAGCGCCACACTTGCGCGCGGTGGCCGGGATGGTAGACCAGGGGGCTCTTCATGAAGTCAGGCTGATAGGTCTGCAGTACCCACTTGTTTAGCATGATGCCATAGCACATGAACACGATAATCTGTAACAGACACAGAAATGACACCGAACTGTCACTTCTTGCTGACATACCCATTACACGCTGTCTCTGCAGACTGCTGGTACAAAGGTGGAAATTGCGCTACAAAAACAAAACCCATTGTGCTTTCTGAAAGACACATGACGTTTTCTTCTCTGTCTGTATTCCTCAGCTGATGCTTATTAGACTCGTGGAGACAATCACTGCCTGCAGGGAAAAAAACGGCACATCTGGTTCAATTCCATTAATTTCTTTTCATAGAATAATGACTCATTGTCTCTGTGAATTAAAATGAATGTGAACCGTTATTATCACATCCTCATTGTCATTACAGACCATTCAATGCCATTTGGAGGCATTATGAGAGCACTTGGCTTTTTCTCCTCAGAATTGTGATGATTTCAGGGGAATGGGTTGAAGTTTTGTTAAGAAGCTGTAGGTTATTTTTGCAGCTTAATCCCCAACCACTCAATAGTGGGCTGTGAGGGCGTTTGTGTTAGTGGTTTTCTTTTTTTTCAAATGAAAATAATAGGTCATTTAATGCCATTGTGGAGGCCAGGGTGCTCACTGACCTGGTTTCCAAGTTCCAAAATCAGAAAGAAAAAAAACCCTGCATGCAGGCTGACTGAGGGCTTCAGCTTGGAGGAATGGCAATAAATGCACCCACTAAGCCCCTAACTCCCAAATGGGTTACCAGCTCATATCAAGCTCACAGTAAAAGTGTGTGATCAAAGGCAGAAAAGCTTTTCTGTGGGTTTGAAGCGAATGACTGAGCCAACAGAACATTCTAAAGTCAGTGTTGTGGGTTAGTAGCACATACTCAAGTAAAATATTGCAGGCCAAACATGCTTTAGGAATATTTGAATCAGTAGGATAGTCTGTATTCAGTTAGTCAGACGAATCTCACCTGTACGATAGTGACGATGGCGATGAACACAGGCGGGGGACACAGGCGGTTCTGGTGGAAGTACCAGCGCCGGTCTGTCTCGCAGGGCAGGATCTCGTAGGCCACATAGCGGACAAAGCGTTTGTACAGACCCAACCCCGTCTCGTCCAGCAGGATCTCCCTCTGCAGCGTGCGGCGGCCATTGGCGATGGCCCGTCGGAAACTGCTGGAGCGCTTACTGCTCATCTGAGAAAAAGGTGAAAAAACATTCATGTATTAATCTCAAGAGGTCAGTTGAATATCTTGGATTGCTTGGATTTTAAAGAAACGTGGAAGAACAAGGAGCATCATTTTAAAAATTAGACTGATACATTTTCACTTATTCAAAGGAATAGTTTGACATTTTAGGCAGAACACTTGTACACTTTACATTTTTACTCTTGTTGAGAGTTAGATAAGAAGATAGAAAACACTGTCGTGTCCATTAAATATGAAGCTACCATCCGCCGCAGCCTATTAGCTTAGCTTAGCATAAAGACTGGAAACAGGGGGGAAGCAGCTAACCTGACTCTATCCAAAGCTAATAAATCTGCCTACCAGCAACTCTAAAGCTCATTAACTAACACTTTATATCTTGTTTACCATGGCAGTTCCAGGCAGTAACTTCTCCTGGCCAAGAAATAGTCTCATAATTGGCACATAATCCCCCATAAAACCACAACATGACATTTTATGCTTTTATGCTGAGTTTTTGTACAGATTACACAAACAAGACAGAACAGTGTTAATTAGTGAACTTTAGTTGTGCGGATAGGTAGATTTTGTTAACGTTGGACAAAGCCAGGCTAGCTGTTTACAGTATTTATGCTAATATAAGGCTAAATGTAGCCTTATATCTACTGGACAGATATGAGAGTGGTATCAATGTTCAGCAAATGACTGTATTTCCCACAATGCCAAACTACTGCTTTAAGAAAAGATGAGAAACTAATTTATTGTGACCCTAAGAAATCAGAAGACAGCTTTGCATTAATTTGCTGTTTTTGTTTTTTGCTTCTCGATGACTTAATGTCTTTTTTGAAATAAACTTGTCTGGAGTAGTTTTATGAGTGTTACTGTTAGCAGCTAGAGGACACCTTACCAGGATGAGCAGATCTCATCATCTCCTGTTGTTGAATTTTTCATTTTTGCAATTAAATTCATCACACATCAGTAAAGGACGATTTTTTCTTTTCTTTTTATCCTAGGTGGGAAGTGCTGATTTTACAAGGGATAGCATGACGTTTTAAAAGTTTTACTTTTATCATTAACTAGTCTGGGTGGTGACAGCTTTTTTTCAGGACTTTTTCTGTTCTTCGGAGGCTTCAATAAACAATGTTTTGCACATTGCTGCATTCAGTGGGTACTTTATTGTATGTATTTGTATTTGTATTTTTTTTCATGTCAGATTTTAAGGTTTCAAGTAGCCATTATTTGATTTCAAGTATCCGTTGTTTGCATTTTTAGTATGTGGTGACTAATGAAATCACTTATTCAGAAATGAAAGAAAATGAAGCTAAAAGAGAGCAGTTCCTTATAGAAAATGATTAATCAGCATCTTAAAACGGTTCAAATCTTCTTTTGTCAAACACACTAACAGTCTTTTCAGTCCCATCTGTGTGAGATAAAAGTTAGATGCCAGTACCGAAAGCATTATGCAGATGATTAGTAACAATACTGTCTATATGGCAGATTTTACTCTAACTAATGTCGAAATTAGGAGGTAAACACAGCACTTAATAAATCTGCAATGCATGTTTTTATTCAACTGGCATTAGAAATACATTTTCAATAATATTAAAGCCAAATTACATGTATAAATAACTGGTGATTACTTTTATCCCACAAGAGAGCTGACAGAATTGCAGCTGAATATTCATGGCTGACAAGAAACTTAAATAATGTATTAGTGGGTTTGTGATTTAGACAGAATGTAAGCGTGGCTTTGGGCAGGGTTGATTGCGGCACAGACATAATAATAAATGGGCTGTTGAAGTGATTTTGCCCTTGAAAAACAAATCTTTGTTAAGAAGAACTATTACATGGAAAGAGGGACAGTGCGTGTGTATGTATGTGTGCGTATTCATGTTATCACAGGCTCCAGGTTTGCTTAGTGAGCAGGAGCTCTGCAGCAGCCTGCAGGCCAACTCTTGATAAGTTCTTTAATAGAGGCTTAGGATGAAAACTATCCTAATGCCACTATTTTGACAGCCAAGGCAGAGAACTGTCAGGATAACAGAGAGTTCTTTTCCGCCAGAGTTACCACTGAAAATACTGTCTGACCAGCTACGCACAGCAGGGATCCTTTAGAGTCAATATCTGCATTTCCTTACAGAGAACACGTTTGCATGCTTCACAGGTAAGGATTTACTTAATGGCTGATACTCAGTGGCAATGCCAGATGCCTGAATTCTCCAGTGTAGGTAAAACAATACAGCTCCTTTGAGGACAAGTGGCTGACTTAGCAATTATCTCTAAATCAAGTGTTATGATGTGATGTGACAACTTATGAAAATTAGTTTCCAAGAAAAGCAGTGAAGGAAGAGAGGGCATGTGGGCAGCAGCTGCTACTGTTAACAGTATTAATCTCCAACAACAGACCTTATGTATAGGTCTCTCACAATTATAACCTATGACAATATGAAAGCTTCATATGAAGTGTACCAAAACCTCAAAAGGGGGCCTGTAGGAAGTACAACCCACCATTAAAGTACACCATTTGTATTTCATTAGCCAGATTCTGCTGTTTGTACACTCATTATATGTAGACACAGCAGGGGGCATAGTGAAAGAAATTGTGGGTCAACAGCTGTAAAAGCTAATGAGCTAAATATACTGGAGGACAAAGACTGTAAATAAATGAGCAAATAATGAAGAAGTAATGAACAGATTGCTCCACAAATGCAGCAGCTGCCTTTTTTTCAATTTCAAGAAATATAAAAAAACCAACTATGTTAATCCCTTTTGGAAGTTAGCAGAGCAGGACGTGGTAACTTCCCTAACTGTGGGTAATTATGACACTGGTGGTTGTACAGTGAGGGTGTAAGGGCCTGTTGCACAGTGATAACCAGAACGATGTCGAGCTGGGCTGCTGGCTCGCCCGCAGATGGAGGGATGTGTATTTAGTATGGAAATCAGGCCTGGAAAATGCAATTATGCTATACTTGAGGCAGGGAGTGAAAGCAGAAGAAGAGGAGAAGAGGGACATTAGAAGGCAGAGAGGGGGAAATTAAGAAGGGAAGATGAGATGCCTGCCTGGGTGCGCTCGATTCACAGGTTCTGGAGGCCACCGATAAACACTGAAGGTAAGACATCTCTTTTCTCATTCTAAATATTCATGTTAGTGAAATCACAATGAAAAAGAGGAAGTGTGTTCATATGAAGAATAGAGGTGGAATAGAGAGGACAAGGGATGTAAATATAATTGTTTTTTCCTCCTTTGTTGGCTTTTTTCTCTAACTAGTCTCTGTGTCTGAGTTTATTTTCAGTGTTTGGCTCGGTGACAGCACCTGCCACCTCTCCACCTTACACTGTATCCTCTCCCATTCATACTGCCTCTCTGTGAGAATGTGTTCCCAGGAGACACGGCTGAGCATAGCTGTCACTCCGCTTCGCCTCCTCTGACATGCAGGGCTGCCGCCTCTAAAGTGAGCATTAGCAGCCTTTTGAAGTGACGACAGGAGAGAGACGGTGAACGAGACAATAAGGCACACATGAGCAGCCAAAACTTGAGATAACGCGATGGGGTGGGGGGGCGATGGGGGCAAGGTGTGCCGAAAATCACATGACATCACATAAAACGCTGGAAGGGGAAAACCTCTGACATCGGTAACAGTAGAAGTTCCCTGACGAGGCAATGCCTGCCAGGGAATAATTGATGCTGAGTCTAAAAGCACAAAGATAAAGATAGTATTCCCCTTTAGGGACGGCTGAAGGGGCCAAACTGACAGCAGTGTGTGTGTGTGTGTGCATGCCAAACAGCAAGGGTCCATCCTCCTCCTCTTGGTAGCTGCGTGTTGCCTACTGTACATGCTGCTCTCAGCTCTAGTCAATTGTCCTTGATGGATTAATTAGCCACACCACATGGTCAATACTTCCCAGCTCAATACTAATTAGTAATAACAATTAAAAAATGTGGTTTAAAGGCCATTCAAGCATCTGCACTAGAGAATACAAAAAAAACCCCACATATTATTCAGATTTTGCTCAGAGTCAGAGGTGTTGACCATCTCTCACTCTCATCTGTTGACACACACAATAAATCAGTTATCTTTACTAGAATATTAAAAGACGTCTGCAATTAACCGAGCTTACATAGAGATTTACCACCAGCAGACTAACAGTGTCACTGTACCCATTTACCATATAATTTGTGAGTCATTCAGAAGACCAAAATTCCCCTCTCCCTTGCCCCCCTCCCCCCTCTCTCTCTTTCTCTCTGTCACATACACTCTTGCACTCTTACAGCAGAATCTAAATCACTGCGGATCTCAGCCTCGCTGATTCTACCCTGACCCAGATACTCAGGTTCTTTTCTTGCCCAAATCCTTTTAAAATGAGAGTCCACCTTTTTTTTCCCCTCAGCAGTTTGCGGCCGCAGCCTTCCTTCATGCTTTAATCATTGCGGTGCTAAAACTCTGGAAAAAAAAAACAAACCTTCACTCCTGGACACTTAAGCAAAGTGCAGCACCAGCAACCGATCTAAAACAGAAAGCCTTGACTGGAGTTTGGTTTGGGATGTGATGTCGATAGGTAGCATCTGTGTCCCTGGAGACAGATGCACTGTTGGCACTTAATGTGACTTGAAAACTTTAAAATACTGTATATCAACTACTTGCAGAGTGTCTATGGGCTGAAGTTCATTTCTGCTCTCTGTAAGTGCTTTCTTTCTTACAACACTGCTTCAAATGTGACAAAAGACCCAGTTTAATGCAGAACATTTAAATATATATATTACATAAGTGTTTCTCTAACTATACCTCCTGAGGGAACAGAAAGTGTAAGCGCAACATTTGGGCAAAAGGGTAAAAATGGTGCACAAAGCAGCAGTCTTAAAAGTCCTTTAACCTGAACAAAGAGAATCCCCCAGCCATAATATCTAAAATACACCCTGTATCCGTGTAATTAACCATAGCAGCCATTATGGATCTCCATCGAACATTAGCCAAATTACCACCCAAAGGAAAACAATGACACACTTCTTCAATTACACAGCCGTTACATGATAGCATCAGAGGACTCTCTTTAAAGAAATCAATACGTGCAATTACACACATAGGAATACATCTAACTTAAGGTTGGCCTGGTTTTACCCTCGATTCATAAACAGATTTACTCACACATCATAGAACCCCCCACCCCTCTCCCCCAAAAGCCCGACCATGTGTGAACTTTGACACCTCGGGTGTCTCTCAGCCTCCTGCATCGACAAACTGTCTGTGTGTAATTGTGCGGAAATGTGTCACCGTGTGTAAAATGTGTGCTGGTTGTCTTGCTGTGTGGGATTTTGTGGATTAGTAGTCAGATACACACCTAAACTGTGTATACGAATGAGTGAGTATGTGTGTATATGTGAGTGTGTACAGTTCCCCAAGAGAGGTTTTAGCAGAGCGTTACTTATTCACCCCTCTGGCTGAACTGATGGAGCTCTCTGGCTAAGATCGCCCTGCATGAAAGATGGGTTGAACACGAACGATGTCAGAGACAGTCTTGTACTTGCACACTCATACACGCTCACACACACACTCAGACACCAGAGAAGCTGTTGCCTGACAGTGCGATTCAAACATTTACACCCACTGAGGTCGAGAGAAGCAGCGTGGATTCACGGCTGCACTGAGTGAATGTAGAACAGAAAATCAGAAAAATGCTGTACACACCCGTTGGAAACACAACTGAGAGAAATTGCAACGGCTTGTGAGCTGAAAGCTTGAAGAGGCATGAATTGAGCACACACAGACACACACACACACACACATATTGCACTTTGCCACCTCCATTTTAATACGGTGCTGGGGAGTTAGAGGCCAGACCACAAATCAATAGACACCAGACTTAAGGCACTGGTTATGATATAATGGCAGAACTGAACTTTGCAAATCAAAACACGACTGTCATCTGTCACACACTGTGGAGTGCTACTTATAAATCTGCCTGAGATACCGGGATGTGAATGGAGATAGATAGAGGGCAGAGGAGAAGGCGTGGACAAAAAGCAGGGAGAGGAACCAAGGAAAAAGAAGAAACTGGAGAAAACTCAGAGAGCAGCAGAGAGAAAGGAGAGGAGGAGAGAAAGAAGGCCGGAGGTATTTCGTTGATGACCTGGTTGAAAATGTCATGGTAAATGCGGCACTTTCCAAGTGGCAGCCCAAAGCAGAAAACAGAGACCTGCAGAGCTCACGCATCACATGCCGCTCGATGGGAGGCCAGATTCACATTAACATTAGAATATTCTCTAAATTACTCAGCAAATCTGTACTGGCAGCGCTCATGTGTATGAATCAGAGTCTGTCTGCATTTGAGAGAGTTTGTGTATATCAGGGAGAGGGGAGTAGTGAAGCAGACTGAGAGCAAGTGGGTGGCTGCATTAATTAATAATAAAATGCTTAAAAAGCGTTTGCATATATGCAAATTGTGTACATGCACAGAAAGGTGTGAGTATGGTCTATGTGAGTTCACATGTGTGTATCAGACAAATCTTTAAAATCAGACCTGGGGGTCAATATCTATGTGTTGCTGGGCGTTCTCAAATTGCCTCAGATTACTGCCTGCTACTACCAATGCTGGGCTAATCGAAAGCAATTTGCATTTGGCTGATGGGCAATTTTAAAAGTGTCTCCCTGATGTAGTCGGAGGCGAGGCAGGGTTTTTTTTTTCCCCACCTAACATATGCTCACAAGGAGTGTAAAATGAAAGAGGAGGAAATGAGATCTGAGGGTTCAAGGAGGCAGGTTCAAAAAAGGGGAGATAATATTACATGGCTTGAGGAAGGGAGGGTTGAAGATGAGATGCGCTGAAATGAGATGGATCAAAAAAAGGAACAACACTTCAGGAATGGCGAGGGACGATAGCTGTACACTTCCAAGAAAAAGGGCTTGTGAAATAGAGAGGCTGCACTGTTGAAGCAGCACCTCTACACAGACATGGGACCTGTTCCAAATTGAGTGGCCTTGTGTGGCCTTCATTACAAACTACGGACAGCCCAACACAAGGGGAGAAAAAGAGAGACATACAAATAAACAGAGAACGAAAGAGAGGGAGTAATTAGCTAAAGGAAGTGAAAATATGCCAGGAGTTGCATTGCGTTGAATTAATCTCAGTGCTCACGCTCGTATGGTGCTGTGAGCAGAAGGCAGGTGCTCATCTATGTGCTTGAAGAGAATCAGCCTTTTCACAGCTCTACATACATTTCTAATAGGGGCACAATTGTAAACAGAGATAGGTGAAGAGACAAGAGCCTGGCCTCAAATTCAAATTAGAGACACGAAGGACAAAATCTGCCTTATACAATGAGCCATCTGCAGCTGCAGAGAATATAGTACACACTGTTTTCACATCATTGTATGAAAAATATTCTTGTACAGCATCAGTCAGTTGCCGTTGCACAATTCAATATATTAATTCCTTGGAATATAACTGTGTTTGAATCAGTTATGATAAAACATTTGTTGCATTAATACTATGGCTCTGTCAGCTTGGTGTGGGTGTTTTCTAGTACTTGCTGTGCACAGCTTGTGAGGTTAAGTGTCTGGATTTACCGACACATTAACTGGAAAGATTGATCCTTCTTTTGCAGGACAACGACCTGAATGCTCGAGTCAATTTTCGCCACAGCGGAGCTTGCTGGCTCTGTCTGAATCAATTCTCTAACCTTTCTGAAATCCAGCAAAAGTGGGTGTACGTGTGGAAATTCATGTCTGTGCTGCAGGACATGAAATGTCTCATGCGACTCCCTCTGCATCACTATCTGTATATCTGTGTGTGTATGTGCATCTGGGTTCCACCTACCAGCTCGATGAGCTCCTGGTAGCACACCTGTCCCTCTTCATTACTCTGGACCAGGGCTAACAGCATGTCCAGTTTGGACGGGTCCAGCTGCAGCTCATGGTGCTCCACCAAGCTGGTGAAGTTCTCCACTGCGATGAAACCGGTGTTCTCTGGGTCCAGCTGGAAAAAACAACAACAACAGCACTTTCAGACCATTGGGATAAAACACTGCATTGCCGATAACAGTTGTATTGAAGATGTTTCTGTTATGCATCATGATTTTTTAATTAGCAGCGCTGCAGTGTCAGTTTCCCCCGAGGGGGAATAAAACAGTAATAGACAGCTGAGACGTATGCACAGAGACACAACAGATACTCAAAGACAAATGAGAGCTACAGGGCTGAATGCATAAGCTCAGACAGTGACACCGGTATTAATAAAGCTGTGTTGCCTTTGAAAGAATTAGACCTGCTTTAAGAAAAAGCCTCATTCAACCTCATTAAAGGGGCAGGTCTGTCAGTGCAAACAGCATGATGGTTGTTGTTGTTGGGAGCAGTGAGAGAAGAAAGGCAGGCATGTCATTCTACTACCCAGTGACCTGCAGTTTCCCTAAAAAAAAAAAAAAAAATCTTTCAGCATTAAATGAAGTTGACTTTTCAGTCTTTGTTTCTGAGTGGATGCTTCATTTGACTGTGTGAGTTCGTCCTTGGTCACATTTGCAGCTCGCAGTCAGTGTGGTTTTAATAATCACCACTCACTCACTGAGACCCACAGCCCCATGGGTTATTACTGCTGATGTCTGTATGCCAGTGCTTCTCCTCGTAATTGATTTAAGCGAGTGAGCGTCATAAAAATGGCTGAGTGTAGTTGTCTAAAATAGCGCACAGTTAAAAATGGCTTGTAAAGTATAGGGTGTGTATCTACGCTTGGTTTATGTAATATGTTTTTTTTTTTGGGCTGCAGTTTCTACCTACCCATTGCTTGATTTTCTTCCCTTACCTTCTCCTCTTAAATGCATTCAATTGCTCTGCAATGGCGCGTTAATTTCTCATGCCAGCTCTACTTAGTGCATCTGATTGTGTTTGTGAAAATGTGCCCGAGGACAAACGAGCAGTACAAAGAGACCACATGGGAAGAGCCCTTGCTGCTTCACATTTTACTGTTTCCTGAATGCTAACACAGCCTCATTAGGTTTCAGATAGTAAACCAACAGTTTTTTTTGCCCCAGGGAGGAGTGAGTTTGCAGATGTTGCGTCAGTGTGGAGTCAGTCCTGCTGGATCATCGTTGCCCATGTCATCAGTCCACAAGAAGAATCCCGCCTAGGCCGCCTTAGTGTGGACCTGGCCTGCTCTGAAATGGTTAGACAAAGGAGTTTCGTCGGCTGCATGAGGAGAACAGCATTTAATTACACAGCGCCGTGTCAGTCTCTGCTGCAGGCGGCTCAAAGCTTAAAGCTCCACTGCTCAACTAAGAAGATCCATCAGGGAATCCATTGGTGTGAGATGTGAGATGTGTCTCCTTCTGAACATTTTTACTGTATGTACGTCCCCCTACACTGTCGGCAGTTTTTTTTTTTTACATTAATTTAGTTACACACAAGCATCCTTTTAATTCCACTTAATCTGCTTTTTCTTTTTTTTTTGTATTTATTCACCTGGCAGAGCACAGTGGAGGCAGGAACAAATGGGTTAGTTTTGATGATGCTTGACTCAAACTGAGTGTCTTCTCACTGCTGATTGATGCAGTGAAGGGATTTTTGTTAGTTTTGTTTATTATACTCTGTGAACACTAACATCACTCAACAACTAAGATTCTGTACACATACAACCATTGTTATCTCTCGGGCATTTACTGATAACACTCTTCACGCCATGCACATTGTTTAAAATCCAAACAATACTGGTGTAATCTCCCTCTTGGTCATTTTCCTCACGCATCTCGGTATAATCTCAAAACTCAGCTTCTTAGCCTCTCAAGTCTGTCTGGAACGCACATAAAACCAAATTTGTGGAAAAAAAAAAAAAAACAAGATGGGAGAGAAAACGGGCCCAGGTCTATTTTTAGATAATCCCCTTAACTGTGTTTTCCATGGACGTTTGTTAAAACACGGCTCCATTCACCCCTTGAGGCTTGCTGAGCAAAATGGTGCAGAAACTGTCCAACGTTTGTGATGTGTAAGGTATCAGGATGACATATAGGGGAATACGAGGGGGGGGCCACAAAAAAAAAGACCGCAGAGAGGCAAGAGGTGGAAAATGGGAGAGAGGGTGGTGGGTGGTAGGTCGGTTGATGAAATGAAAGACAGTAGAAGGACGAGAGACTATGAAAAGAGAGGCGAGAAGAACAGAGACAGCCAGACAGAAATGAAAGGAAGACGCATAGAGAATAAAAATGCCATGCCACTGTCTGTTATTCTGTGCATCTGCCTAACCAAGCAGTCTGGCAGTGAGTCCTCCTCTTCTCTTTCCTATAAGAAGGGCTGTGACACACTCCAGTGCTCTGCATTCACTTGCCACAGAGGGGAGATAGATCAGATTCTAATGTGCTCCTGGCTCAGCCCGGGCTGACAGGGGGAACAGAGAGCCACACTGGGGACGTCTGATTACTGTCAGCCTCCATATGTCAGTGCATCACTACACATACAGCAGCGACGCAGACAGAGACACACTGTATATGGCTGTGCACATTTACGCAAACCCAGTGTTGACGCCGAGCTGTCATAGGGCCGTGATCCTACCCCCTTCATAGTGACCTTATGCAGGAAGAACGTTACACAGGGGAGGCTGTCTGCTGAGGATACAAGGAGGTGGAAGATTGGTTCTTGTAGCCAATTAGGGTTATCAATTAGCGAGATGAGGTACACTGAGATGAATGAGTGCTGGCAAGATGAGCCCGGTTTTTTTTTTCTTGTGCAGGCTGGTGATGAACAAGAAGGGAGAGACAGAAAAAAAAGGGTTGGAAGAAGGAGGGAAAAAGCGTTGAGAGGGAAGCAGTTATTGAAGCGATCCAACACTGGCGAGGGCGACACTTTGACAAGCTGCATGCGTTGCCATGGTTACCAGTCGCCCGTGTGTCATCCCTTTCTTGCGTTCCCCCCCCTTTTCTCCCCCCCCTTTTCTCCCCCCGACATATTGGTGTTCGAGAGGCACAAAGAGACGATGAAAGGAGGGAAGGATACAGAGCAGAAGGAAAGATAGAATACAGATGGATGGTAAGAGACCAATAAGATAAGAAGAGAAGGTGGCAATAAGACGATGGCAGGATTTAGATGTAAAAGGAGGCGGGGCGGAAGATTATGGGTGGAAGGTGGAGGTGTTACGACAGAGAGAGCGACCGAACTTGGCTGGCTCAAGAGCAAGTGGGAGGAGATGGACAAGACACAGGATGAAAATGTATACACGAGGAGGAGGAGGAGGAGGAGGAGGAGGAGAAGGGCAAAGAGAGGAGTGGAATGCTGACTGCAGGGGAATGATCTCAGTGTTAACCCCGGGGACCTCTATTACCTTCAGCGCAGCAACTCCAACTGACCCCAGCCCACGACTAACTTATCAGCCTGTTCCACAGGGGCTCAAGAGCGAATCCTCCAGCCCCGGAGCGAACCACAAAACCCAGCCGTGATAGAAGTACAGCCAATGGGCTGAGACATGGCCAGTCCTATCGTCCGACCTGCAAAAGATACTATGGGAGACTGTGTGTAGCACTAGAAGATTCATACTGTTAGACCCTGCATGCAGTCACCTTAATTTTTCAAGATGGCAAAGCTTTAACTGTTTTATCATGCTCTGCCTGCTTTTTCCTCTAGTAAAGGTAATCATATCTGAACTGAAACATAGGTAATTAATAAATTAGTCAATTAATCTGCAACATTTTAGAACTTTTTTTACCCAAAAAAGTTCCAGCTTCTTAAAAATGTATTTTTTTTCTTTGTCTTCTATGAAAATTAATATATATATATATATATATATATAATATATATATATATATATATATATATATGGATTTTGGACCTACTGATTGGAAGAAACATGCAATTTGAAGACGTCATCTTGAGCTCCTGAAGACTTTGATTGGCACTTTTCTGATACTACATAAACTAAATGATTAATTGAGAGGATAAGTAGCCCTAAATCTTCAAATTAGGCTTTACTTTGAACAATGCATAGCTTCAAGTGATGTTTTAATTACTACCTGGTCAGATATACTGAAATTAAAGTATATCGGTTTGTACTTATTAGCTGCAAATTAACTTCTACAAGGTAATGTAGCACCAACGTTGGTACGATTCCCAGTCTCTCAGTGACACAGTGCTAACCCAGTGGCACAAAGCTAATACTACACACCACTTTGGTCTCTGTGAACAAGACTGTCAAGCATGAGCAGGGCTGTGTATCTGCAGAGGGCAGTGGCATTTACAGGGCAGAGCATATTTGCATGGCATCAGATAAAACCCTTTGAATTGCCTCTGCTGCCCTCAGGACTCACTGGTGTTCACCAACAACTGGGCCACTGACTCTGTAATTATCACAGTGCACGTTCTGCCCTGCTGTTACCATCATTATGGTCAGACTTCACTACTGTGGCACTGCAATGTGACGGCTCAAAGATCCAACCCACAAGAGAGACAATCTACATTTTTCCTTGATACAAACAATCATGTAACTACATTTCCTGGTGTTTGAACACAAACAGCCAGATACAGCTTTCAAATACAGCTCAATGCAAATTAGCATCAGATAATGATAAAAGAAGACAGTGTATAAGAGTCTCATTCTCGCTGCTTGACATAAATATGTCAGAATAGTATTCAGAATCCCAAGTCCTTATGGGAGGGATATAAATAAGCCAGATAAGACCTGAATGACACATAGGGAGATATTCACCAACTAATGATAGTGTACGTTAGTGGCTGAGTGCTGCCTACCATCAAGTTGCCTTATCAGTGGCACTGCAATAGAAAGACTCTGACTCTGATTATGAGCATATGTGTGAGCCTGCATAGGCCAGAAATAGCCTGAGCTCAGCATTGCAACCTCCTGCAGACAAAGACTAATAAACTCACTCATGTTGCCACTGTTGCTTTCTCTTTCTCTTCCCCTGCAGCATTTTCTTGTGGTTCTGTGTGACAGGGCTGCAATACTCCCTTTCCTTTACACCTGCAGTGCTCATATAAACTGAAGCA